CAGTAGCCCCACCTCCCATCCAGCTTTCTGCTTGTGGCCTGGAAAGCTGTCAGGGACAGCCCAAAGCCTTGGGACCCTGCACCCACATGAGACACCTAGAGGAATTTCCTGGCTCCCAACTTTGGGTTAGCACAGCACCATCCATTGTGGTCACTTGTGGAGTGAATAATCAGATGGAAGTTTCCCCTCTGTCTCTCCTCCTCTCTGTACATCTGACTTTGCAATAAAAATAAATAAATCTTTTTTTAATTATTATTAATTATGTTGCATTATGTGACAATGTTTCATAGGCTTTGGGATTCCCCCAACCCCTCTCTGTGCCCTCCCCCCATGGTGGATTCCTCCACCTTGGTGCAGTATTACAGTTCTAATTCAATCAGGAGTCTTTCATTGCAAGCATATACCAAGCATAGAGTCCAGCATCTCATTGTCCAGATAAATTCAACGTTTTCTTGGGGAGATCAGCTCTGGTCTGAAGGTAGAGCTGGCAGAATATCATCCTGCTCAATTAAAAGCCCCAAAACAACATCAACAACAATTTAAAAACAAATGATTAAAAACAAACAAACAATTTTGAAACAAACAACAATTAAAAAAAAAAGATGGTGTGTGGAAGTCACTGGGTAAGTTTGCACTGTGCTAAATACCCAGCTCTCACAGCCAAAGCCAGGGCTTCCCCTTCAGAAAATAGCCCCCCCACTCCCCACCCCCAGCCTTTCAGCTCTTCCCGACCCAGAGGGGCCCCTGGTCATACAATATCTCCATTTAGAATCAAGACTTCTCCTGCTCTTAGGGTGATCTGGCTGGCAACTGTGAAAGCTTAACATTTAAGAATGGGATTCTTTCTTTTTCCCAGATTACTTTTCCTTACCTCAGTCAATTATTTTGAGTGGTTTGTTCTTTGTTCTTTTGTTGTTGTTGTTGTTGTTGTTGTTTTGTTTTTCAATTCTTAGTCCCAGTGCAGTATCCTAGTGGCCAAAGTCCTCACGTTGCATTCACTGGGATCCCATATGTCCCAGCTGATCCACTTACCATCCAGCTCCCCGGGCTTGTGGCCAGGGAAAGCAGTAGAGGATGGCCCAAAGCCTTGGGACCCTGCTCCCACAAGGGAGACCCAGAAGAAGCTCACGGCTCCTGGCTTTAGATCAGCTCAGTTCTGGCTGTCATGGCCACTTGGGGAATGAACCAGCAGATGGAAGATCTTTGTGTCTCCTTCTCTCTGTAAATCTGACTTTCCAATTTAAAAAAATAAATCTTATTTTTTAAGAAGCCTGTTTCTCTTCATTTTATTTGAAAGGCAGAAAGACAGATCTTACATGTATTCATTTACTCTGCAGATGTCCAAAATGGCCAAGGCTGGGCCAGTCTGAAGCCAGAAGGAGCTGGAAACTCAATCAGGGCTCCCCGTGTTGGTACCTGGAGCCAATTCTTGAGCCGTTATCACTTCTGGAGAATGTGTCAGTCTCTTAGAGTGTTCATTAGCAAGAAACTGGAATTAAAAGTGGAACTGGGATGTGAACCCAACACTCCCTAATATAGGGTGTGGGAAGTTTAATAGCTGTACCAAATACCCACACACAAACTTCATTTACTCTGACTAAAGTAAAATTCTAAAGCAGTTAAGTCCATTTAATTGATAATGTGTATATTATATAACCACATGGCAGAACAGCCTTTGTTTACATTGGCAGAAGTTCAGGTTTGTTAGCTTCAACAAATGTTGCAGGTTGACCAAATCTATCCCCAAATGAACCAGAGATAGACTCTTTGAAGCTCAGGAGTCAGCTGGTGAGCTGCTGCATTCCACCACAGGTGGAAGAGGATGAGTTCTGATCAGTTGTGTTCAGGGATTTTGAAGCAATGATGATTTTATCGGTTAAGAGAGCAGTGGTACATGATACAAATCATTCAATCAACCAAGCTTACATCAGTGCACAATACAAATGATCCAGTCAGCTGTAGTGGCATGAAACACAAATAGCCAATCAGTTTAAGCATCATACATTTTTAAACTATCCAATCAGTAAGAGCTGCTATCCTGTTCATAGCAAATAATTGAACCAGGCACACAACTCCTTCCATTTCCGTGTACCAGAACCAGTTTGGGGCAGCCAACCTACTGCATGAGCTGTAAAAGAAAAGCAGGCCATCATCCTGGAATGAGACATTTCCTTACGATAAGTATTCTTACTCCCATTTTGAGACTTTTACAAGAACAAAGGTTACAGACACATCCTGGAAATGAGAGATCTAGCCCTACTGTCACCACTTTTTATTGTCTGGGCTGTTACACAAAATCTAGAAAACATTCCTTGGGGCCAGTGTTGTGACATAGCTAGTGAAATGCTACAGTGGCATCCTGCATGGGTGCCAGTTTATGTGCTGGATGCTCCACTTTTAATTTAGCTCACTGCTAATGGCCTAGGAAAAGCAGAAGATACTAAGTGTTTGGGCATCCATCAGTCACATGGGGGATCTGGAGGAGTCTCCTGGCTCCTGCTTTTGGTCTGGCACAGAGCCAATTGTAGCCATCTGCGGAGTGTACTGGTAGACAAATGATTCATATTCATTCATTCATTCATTCATTCATTCTCTCTCTCTTCCTCTCCCTCCATCCCCCTCTCTTTCTCTGTCTTCCTGAAGTTCTGCCTTTCAATTAAATAAGCAAATACATGCTTAAAAAAAAATAAGAAACAAGGGCCTGTACAATGGCTCAACTGGCTAATCCTTCACCTGCAAGCGTTGGTATCCCCTGTGTACCCTGGTTCATGTCCTAGGTGCTGCACTTCCCATCCTGCTCTCTCCTTATGGCCTGGGAAAGCATTAGAGGATAGGCCTAGGCATTGGAATCCCAGAAGCTCCCAGCTCCTGGCTTCAAATCGGCCCAGCTCTGGCTGTTGTCATTTGAGGAGTGATCCAGTAAATGGAATATCTTTCTGTCTGTCTCTCCTTCTCTCTGTAATTCTCCATTTACAATAAAATAAATAAAACCTTTTTAAAAATAAGAAAGAAAACATTCCTTGCCTTTTGTTTGCATGAAAGTCTAACTTTGCAGAGGAAAGAACAGCAGTAAGAGATCCTCTGAATTTCCTATTTAGGGGACCAATTGAATACAACAACAACAAACAGCACAAGGTGACAAGAGAACTAGCAAAGTGGCTGACTTTTCTAGAAGCATGCTATGCCTGGTTCTTTTATCCTATCAGCAAAGCCTTGGAACTATAAAATTAAGCCTAGGGTGGAAAAATGAACCGTGGAGAAGAACTGGGCCAGCGTAGCAGGGCAGCTTAGGGCAGCACCAAAGAAGGACATGTTCCTTCCCCATGCTTTTTTGCAGTTCAGCGGCAGGTTCTTCCTGGTGCACCATGGGGTACTTATGACCCCGGTGAGTGAGTCGTGTCTCACCGGTGCACTCTACATGAAGCATTCTTTCCAAACGGCCTTTCCAGCCCCCGCACTGAATGTCAAGGGACTGTGATGTAGTGAGAGAGGTTGGCCAAGAGCCCTTGGCCAACTATCTTTTTGAAATACTCCCACATTGGGAGGAGGGTGTGGAGAGATGGATGAAGGTCAAGGGAGAAAGGCATCCTGTTGATAATGTGAAAGTCAAAGGGATGTTCCAGAGCAATCCTCAGGACCTGAGTGTTGAGTTCCCGGTTCATCAGGATCTGGGTGTTGAGTTTGTGGGTGATCCAGGTTCCATCTGCCCACCCGGTTCCTACCAGCTTTGTTCACATTCCTGGGCTGCTCCAAGGAACCTTCCATACTCATCAAGGCAGGCCCTGGGCATGTACCCTCCTCATTGGTCCCTACAGTCAGGCTGCTGAACGTTCACCAAGGAATATTCTTGGGCTTTCCCCTTCGGCACCATTAGCATAGAGCATAGTGTCTAGGGCAAGTTGGTGCACTGGCTGGTCAGGGTATGAGTGAATAGATGAGTGGCATTCCCAGACAGCCAGCACCTGACCATCAAAGTAGAAATGCCACAGCCATGTTGGGAGGCGTAGAAAACTGGCTCGGATGGGTGGCACCTGAGGGACAGTTCCAGCAGGGTTGGAGGGATTCCAGGTGCTGACAAAACAGGAGCCAAGTACAGAGCCAAGAGTCCTCGAAGCATCCATTATGAATGCATGTCACGAACAGCTCTCCATGGGTTTCAAAAAGCTTCTACACCCAAATAAATTTAACTTATAATTCCATTTCTCCTTGCCCCCATGTGCTTTTCTGAGTTCCTTCATATAGAATCATCAAAGGCAGTGGTGAACTATTTAAGGCACCCTTACAGTAGTTGGATGAAGGTGCAGCATGAGCGTGGGCAATGTTACAGATGCCCCGGACTGCAGTCGTCAAGAAAGGGGTCAGGAGGCAGGGCTGGGACCGGGAGGCCCACTGGTCTCCTTGCACCTGCTCTCTGGCCTTGGGCTTATCTGCTGGTTCCTGGGTCTCTGGTTCCTCAACTGTGGCCTGAGGAAAACTCTACAATAGGAGACAGCAGATGCGAAGGAAAAAAGAACAGGAAGAAGGTCTTTTGCTCAGCTAGTACCTAAGACCGTGTCTGCATGTGATGGGCGAGTGGGAGATAGCTAAATGAATGAAGGATCCAGACATGAACTTCCTGGGCCCTAGGGTTGACACAGGACTGTTCTCTGGGAGTGGTTCTGCTGAGCTGGTTCTGCTACACGAGAGGTTGGGGTAAGAGAGATTTGAAAACTTCAAAAGTAGTTTTTAAGCCTATGTTTTGCCTCTACATATTTCAACTGTTGATCCAAATTGGTAAGAGATGCTGTGATTTTAAAAAAAGGAAAAAAAAATTTTAAATCATATTTGCAGTATGAGGATGTTATTTTACCGGGATATTGTTTACAACAAGTTGAAAAAGTTCTAAGAAAAGGAGAAATTCTTTGCATGCTCTGTGATGCTTTGCTTACGTTCAGGGCTTTTTTTTTTCTTCTTCTTCTGTTTATTTTTTTAAGGAGGTTCCCTATATTTTCTTTTCACAGTTGAACACTTTCCAGGCAGTGTTGGCCTCTGACGCGTCTGATGCCTACGCCCTCTTTCTGTATCCTGCCAATGGCCTTCAGTTCTTTGGAACTCGCCCCAAGGAAGCTTACAACGTCCAGCTGCAGCTGCCAGCTCGGGTGGGCTTCTGCCGCGGCGAGACCGACGACCCGAAGCGGGAAGGACAGTATCTCAGCCTGACTCGCAATGAGCAGTCTGTGAAAAACCTCTACCAGTGAGTACCACCAGCTCGAGGCCTTCCCAGTGGGACAGAAGGGTTTTGAGCAATACCCAAACTCAAGTGGCCCAAGGACTTTGAGGGTCCCATGTCCAAACCAAGAACTAGATTAGACCTGGGAGATCAAACTCTTCACAGTATAAAAGGCCCTTATTTTTCTGCCCTACTGGGTGTAGTTACTGGAAATAGATCAGTATATGTGTGCATGTGTTTGCAGAGCTACTGAGGCTTGCTATGAAAAAACATTGTTCTTGCAACCGCATAAAAATGTCCAGGAATGTCACTGCTTGGATTGAAGGTTTTTTTTTAAGTTAATCATTTCATAGGAGGAAGTACTGTGATCTGATCTTTTACTTAAATATTTTGCCATTTATTTATTTTAGAGAGGGGGGAGGGAGTGAGAGAAGGCTTGCATTCACTGGTCTGCTCCCCGCTAAGTGTCCCTGTTGACTAGGAGGTGGGCACTCAGCCTGGGTCTCCCATGAGGGCAGCAGGAATGTGAATACTGGAGCCACTGCTGCCTCCCCAAGTCCATGCTAGTGGGAAGCTGGAGTCAGGAGGCAGAGCTGGGAGCTGAACCCAGACATTCCCACGTGGGAGGTGGGTGCCCTGACCTGTAGCCTAACCACCTTTGCTCTTGTGCTTGAACCTGATGTAGTCTTTTAGAAACCATTCAAGTTGAAGTGGTGTGCGACACAGCAGTGCTATTACAGCTTCTAGTGTAACAGTGCTGCAGCCTTCCCGAATGAAGCTTCCCCAACTCCCTACAATTTTGCTCCCACTCTGCCACTCACTCGTAGCAATGCTTTCTGGAGGAACTTGAACCTCAGTTTGGGACTCTGTGCTGTCAGGAACTTGAGGGACATTGACCCCATGGCACCTCAGCTAGGGGTGTAGACAAGCAGATGAATGGAATTCCCGTGCTGTATTTGAGCCTTCCAAAAACAGTCTACGGACTGTGGTCTCCCCAGGATCTCCCGATGGCAAGGGGAAGTCACCGCAGGGGGAGCCCTCCCCTGCCCCCATGAGTTCTTGTTACTTGAGTCTACTCGGAACTCCTTTCTGTGGTCAGCAGTGAGGACTGAGCTGGGGGTTGCCTCGGTCTTTCAAGTTCCTAAACTCTTGCAAGGGATGCCTCTGTTCATGTCCAAGGAATAACAATGGCATTTGAGCCTATACTTGAACTGAAGACATGCCTACAAAGACAACAAAAATTGGGAGTTATATCACTGTTGGAAAAAAGGTAAAAATAGGCTGGTAGATTTTTAGAAGTTCTCAGATTTTCTCTGTGATTTTAAAGATGTATTTATTTTATTGCAAAGTCAGATATGTAGAGAGAGGAGGAGAGATAGAGAGAAATATCTTCTGTCTGATGATTCACTCCCCAAGTGACCACAGTGGATGGTGCTGTGCCAATCTGAAGCCAGGAGCCAGGAGCTCTTCCAGGTATCCCACGCGGGTGCATGGTCTTAAGGCTTTGGGCCATGCTCGACTGCTTTCCTAGGCCATAAGCAAGGAGCTGGATGGGAAGTGGGGCTGCTGGGGTTATCACTGCTGCCCATATGGTATCCTGGTGTTTTCAAGGCAAGGACGTTAGCTGCTAGGCCATAGCGCTGGCCCTTCTCTGTGGTTTTATATCTAGACTCAGTCATCCTGGCTGGCTTCCCCAGAAACAGCCAGAATGGAACCCATTCCTTAGTGCTGGCAGTGGCTTCCTCTGTTGGTGCAGTGGTGAGCACCTCTGTGATCTGTCAGCTCAGATCACACCAGTGTCGTGTTTGGTAGCTTCCGGTGAATCCAGGTGCAGAAACCAGATGCATCCCTTGATTACTTCCGGGCCTCCCTTCACAGCTTCTTGGCTTCTTTAACTCATTCTTTCCCCTTTTCATGCTATGTGCTTTGCTTGGCTGCTGGAGGGTGGACACTGAAGCCAGCAATGGGTGCTTGGAATTGACATCTAAATAGAGAGCCTGTTGTTTACCATGCACTGCCCAAGACACTTCCCACTTGCTGCTTTGGTGGCAGGAGAGAAACACTCCTGTTTTCTTGATCTTACAAATGAACTTGGGAAAGGTAGCAAATTGCTGGTGATCACAAAGTGAAGTGGCCAAACCCAAACCCAAGCAAGAAATCTGCAGCTCAGAATTATTCACCAAGAGCATTTTGAGAAGTGTTTGGAAAATAGAGCTAAAAGATAAGTTGATTTTGGTTGCAAAAAAACATTTTTGAAATCGCATAGGTAGTTTTTTCATGGAATATGTTTTCCTTCAGCCTTTATAAGACCCCGTGTATTTTACGCTGACTCAGATCTCCTTCCCTGTCTTAGGACCCACAGGCAGTCTTCATAGGGTTCCAGTGAACTTGCTGCCCCTCCCAGACCCTGCACCTTCTCTCCTCCCACCTCCCCTTCCACTTGGGAACTCAAAGATGCCTTCCTCCTCTGACCTAGCTCACAGCAAGCCGAACACTTGACCTACAAAGATTTGTAAGGTAGAGGTCCCACACTTGCCGGAGTCCAGCTCCAGCTGAGTTGGGAGCTCGGGAAAGGTGCGTGGAGTCGGTGATAAAGACACAGACACAGGCACTTGGTGCGTTTTTGCTGCCTCCTTTGCTCAAGAAGAAGCTGTCCTTTTTATTTTCTTAGACGCATCACCAGCCTTTGCACAAGCATTTGATTTTTTATCTTTTACTTTAGAACTAAGACAGCACACACAGATGTTCAATTAATTTTTACTTCATGGTCAACCAGGTGCTCTTTAAGATAATTCTGTAAGTTACTATAATCAGTTTCTTTAAAGTAAGCCGTTATTCATTCTTCAGAAGTGGCCATTAGGTGACAGCCAGAACTCCAAGGCCAAGGCACAGATGGTTACCTACTAATTAGTAAAACATTCCTACTACATTTTATTTTCACAACTTTATCTATCACTTAATGGGAGAAATACATCAAAAGAGAAAAAATATAAGGATCTAAGACAAAAAGTTTCAAACATTAAATCCCCCTACAACTGCAGGCTCTACAACCTCATAAGCAATCAAACAATAATCAAAAGTATATCTCTGTGATGTTAATAGAATCATGCTATATTTCCTCTAGTTAAAAAATTATGAAAACGTTTAAAACAGCTACATTTTCTATGCTCTAAAGAGTTGCAAGGACAGGCGAACCTTTAGGATCACAGTAACTGTATTTTTTGCCATAGCAGTTTCCACTCATACTCCCATCACTTCCAATACTTTGTAAAATTCTTGTTAAGCCGTTTCCCAGAAGGCATGCTATATGTCTGGGCCAATTTCAGGGCAATGGGTAGGCACACAATAAGGTGTCCAGAAATGGCATGGGTTTAATTGTACTCCTGTGCGCAGTTAAAGGCCCACTCACCAAGACATCAATAACATTAACTCTTAAGCTCACAGTAGTTGCCAAAGCCATCTCACAGGGGCAAACAATGCCTCAATAGCTTACAGAATTCTTAGTGGGGTACTTGAGCGTCCATGCAAACGGGGTGAGACTGCATCAAGGTCAGAGAGAAATTCGCCGGGCCCTGCCAAACAGCTGGAAGCTCCCCAGGCCCTGCCAAGCAGGGAGCTGTTCTCTTCACACCTTCGTGTCATCCACACCTACTGCACGGACCCCAGCACACACTGTCTACTACTTGAACTCTGCAAACAGACCTAGGATCACAGAGCATTGCAGATGTCCACACAGGGTACGGGAGGCAGTGGGGACCAAAAAGCCTGTGAAGAACGTTCCTCCGCCAGAGCCATCTCCATGTGATCACTGTCTTACGGGCACTGCTCCGTTGGAGATCAATCTATATTCCCATTTTCACTTTACAGTGGAAAAGTGTATCATAAAGAAAATTTATTGATGACATGTAACATGTTTACAATGTTTCTGTTCAGTTGTAATATGCAACATAATACATATTGCTCACATTCTCATTTCTTCTTCAAACTGGGATTGCTGAGAAAAGGTATATGGTTTAATTTCTTGAGAAAAAAGATTTATTTTCATCGAGAATGCAGATTTTGCAGAAAGAGAGACAGAGCTCTTCCGTCCGTGGGTTTACTCCCCAAATGACTGCAATGGCCAGAGCTGAGCTGATCCAAAGCCATGAGCCTGGAGCTTTTTCTGGGTCTCCCACACAGGTGCAGAGTCCCAGGGCCTTGGGTCATCCTTCACTGCTTTCCCAGGCCACAAGCAGAGAGCTGGATGGGAAGTAGAGCAGCCGGGATATAAACTGGTGCCTGCATGAGAAACTGGCGCTGCAATGGGATCCTGGCCTCTGATTTTGTTTTTCTTAAATAGGAGCCAGTATTGTAGTATAAGGGCAAAGCTGCCACCTATGACACTGGCATCCTGAGTGGGCACCGGTTTGTGTTCTGCCTGTTCCACTTCCAATCCAGTTCCTGGCTAATGACCATTGGAGAGCAGAAGCAGCTCCACGCTCCTGGTTCTGATCTGGCACAGGCCTGTCTCTTGCAGCCATCTGAGATCTGGGGTGTATAGCAGCAAAGGGACTCTGCATGTGTGCATATGTGTCTCCCTTCTCTCTGTAAATCTGCCTTTTCAAAGAAATTAAACAGTAAATCTTTAAAAGTTGTTAACACAAAGGTCACACATTATAGAATTATTAATATTTGTCATATTCTCCTGCAAAGCTGAATTGGAGAGTACATGTGAACACCTTTTCCCATAATAACTAAAACACGAAGATGTGCTTAGTAAGCATTTCATGTGATCTTCTCATTTAATCCTCAACAACCCCAGAAGAAAGAACTCCAATTCCCTTCTGTGGCCCAATTTCCCTTTCTAGGAAATAAATTATTTCTATCACTGAGCTTTCCAAATGACCTTGTGTTGTAACATAAACCCAGATTGGTTAATTTGCCATTCCAGTACAATAACCAAAACCAGCATTGCAATTTATGTTTAATTATAAGGTTCTTTTATTTAGCTTTTTATCTGCCTTGATTTATATGTTCCTACACTTTGAAGCTTTATAGGTTTCTAACTTTGAGTAGAAACCTCACAGCTATGGCACCTCTCATGTGATAATAAGCTCCCTAGCCTCAAATCTCTAAGATTTTTCTCATTCTTAGTTTTTCTTATTTACTTGTATGAATTCCCCACATTTTGCACATAGGATCACAGTTTCATTCCTTGTGCTCCTCTTACTCTAACTGCAACAGTAGCAGCAGTAGCTGCAGCTACCACATCATATAGGAATGGACTGGTTAAGATGCTTGCATCTCATGTTGGTGTACTTACATGTGAAGCTCAGCTCTGGCTCCCAGTTCCAGCTTCCTGCTTCTATAGACTCTGGGAAACAGCAGTGATAGCTCAAGTATTTGGATCACTGACACACGGGAAACATGGATTGAGTCCTGGCTCTGACTCAGCTCAGCCCTGCCCAGCTTGGTGCAGCCCAACCCAGCCCAACCCTGCCCTGCCCGGCCCTGCCCAGCCCAGCCCTGCCCAACCCTGCCCAGCCCGACCCTATCCAACCTGGCCTGGCCCAGCCCTGCCCAGCCCTGCCCTGTCCAGCCCTGCCCTGCCCAGCCCGGCCTACTGCAGGCATTTGGGGAATGAACTAGCAGATGGAAGATCTCTCTGTCTCTATGCCTTTTCCAAAAATACTCACAAAAATTCATCTAAAATTGTGTATTGTGAAATGATTATGTAGAGATTTTAATATCTTTATACCAAAATAAACTTAACTTTTAATTTTCCACTAACTTTTGAAAATACCCTGTACATATTCAAATGGGTATACACCCATAAAAGAGACAGACATTCCCAAATTATATTGAAGAATATTTTTTTAAAAGATTTATTTTTATTATTTTCTTATTGGAAAGGCGGATGTACAGAGAGGAGAGACAGAGAGGAAGATCCTCCGTCCAACGACTCACTCACACCCCAAGTAAGCACAATGGCCAATGCTATGCCGATCCGAAGCCAGGAGCCTCTTCCAAGGCCTCCCACACGGGTGCAGGGTCCCAAAGTCTTGGGCCATCCTCAACTGCTTTCCCAGGCCACAGGCAGGGAGCTGGAAGGGAAGCGGGGCTGCCGGGACTAGAACCGGCGCCCATATGGGATCCCGGGCGTGCAAGGCGAGGACCTTAACCACTTGAGCCACCGCGCCGGGCCCTATATTGAAGAATATTATCCACATGAACATAATGGGTGCCTACCCAAAGGAGTGAAGGTCTCTTATTCTTCTGTAGTTAAATGAATTTCTTATCTTACGAGTCATTCACTCTTATTCCTTGTTGATTTTGAGGAAATTTATCACATGGGAGAGTTGGAGCATGACAGCGGAAGGGAACAAAATTTGATGTATTCAAGCCAAGCAGGCCCTTGTTTATTCAAGTTTCTCCCTTAGTTTTGGAACTCTTACAAGAAATTGTTCTCCTTGGAATATGTTTTTAATTCTTAAATCATGGATGGTTATAGTATTTGGAAGACCAAATGGAATCCATAATCTTCTCTCATGGGAAAAATGAGTGATCTATTGCCAGATGTTTCTGGAAAGACTTCTCACCTATGACCCCCTTGCATCTTGACTGAACTATTTTCTTTTCCCTAAACTATATGTTTGCTCAGCAGGTTTTCAGACCTAGACATTTATGTTCCTTTGCCTTTGTATTTTTTTTAAAAAACAGGAATTCATTCTTAGCTGATTGATCGGTCCATGTGAACGGTGAGGTGTCTTCCACATTCTGTAGGGCACTGAGCGTTCAGGTGCTGCTTGGCTGTGGTGTGTTGGTTTTCTACCAGATCGTATTGCATAAGTTTAGAACATGGGCTTTAGCGTTCCCACAGAATACAGGTCCGGTTTCTGCCAACTATTTGTTATATGCTTTCATCAGACTTAGCTTCTCTAAACCTACGCTTTCCTCTACAACTGGGCGTGATCACTGCTCTTGTGCTGTGTACTATAGTGGAAGGTATTGAACCCTTAGCATGGAGGCAGGCCGAGAACCAAAAGCACATGGTGGTTGTTACTGTGGAAGGATTTGGCAGATTGTTAATCTTACACTTTCCTCATGGGTGTGCCACATGCTGTTAAGCAGAGGAAAGATAAAATATCCTCACAGGCCCTGATGGTTTTCAGAGACCCAGATTTTTGTAGTTTTTAAACAATTTTTTAAAGATTCATTTATCTAAGGGCTGGTGCCCTGGTGTATTATTAGTCTGTCTCCTTCTGCATTGCTGGCATCCCTCATGGGTGCTGATTCTAGTCCTGGCTGCTTCACTTTCCATCCAGCTCCCTGCTTATAGCCTGGGAAGGCAGCAGAGGATGGCTCAAATCCTTGGGCCTCTGCACCCGTGTAGAAGATCAGGGAGAAGCTCCTGGCTTTGGATCGGCCCAGTTCCAACTGCTGTGTCACAATGCTAGCTTCAAATAGCCAGATTTTAAATATGGCATTTGGGTGGTAGAGCAGATTTTTTAACTTGACGGTCAGATATTTGAAACATAATGTTGAAAGGTATTTATATCGAAATTGCCACGTGATGTTTTTGGCTAGCATGTCAGTTGCCTTTTATTAGATGGTGTTAATATACTAGGAAAATTCCAAATATGGTCCCAAAGAGTTTCTTCGGGTTGAAATAAAATGGCTGGGGTGGGTGTGCAGCACAGTAGCTAAGACCCTGTTTGGGATGCTAACATCCCATGTGCAGGTGCCTGGGAGTGAGTCCTGGCTCTGCTTCTAATCCCGGCTTGCTGCTAATGTGCACCTAAGAGGCAGCAAGCAGCTGATGGCCCAAGTGCCTGGCTCGCTGCCCCCCATATGGGAGACCGGATGGAGTCCCAGGACCCTGGCTATGGTCTGGGGCAGCCCCGGCTATTGCAGGCATTTGGGGAGTATAGCAGTGGATGGATTGTGTGTGTGTGTGTGTGTGTGTGTGTGTGTGTGTGTGTGTGTGTGTCTCCCTGCTTTTCAAAGAGATAGATAAAATAAATGAAACTTCAGTAGGGTGAGGAGGTGTTTCCGTAACAAATGAGCTATTTCCTTCTTATTTAGGCTGAGCAACGTGGGCATTCCGGGCCTGTGGGCTTTCCACATCGGCAGCACCTCCCCGTTGGACAATGTCCGGCCCGCAGCAGTGCACTCATCGGCTCCCCAGAAACATCCCCTGAGCCAGGCCGCAGCCCTGAAGGCCGACTACACTGAGGAGAGTCTGGACTATTACGAGGAAAACGAGGAGGAAGTGGAATACCCGCCGGCCGAGCCTGGGGCCGCCTCCTCGCATGCTCACGGTGCGGTGGATGTTGCCTTCCAGCCCAGCACCAACTTGGGGCCCGTGGTGGGGGACCTGGCTCCCCCAGACTCTGAGCCTGCCTCCTCTCTGCCACATCTAGCATCAAGCCAGCGACCATACTACCCGCCATCAAAATCTGCCACTCAACTGAAACAGGCCTCTTGGCCAGCGGAGGGAGATGGCCAGGACTTGAATCCCCGATCCCGTCCTTTGGACCAGACAGGGAACTCGGGGACTCCTTTCCAGGAAGTCCCCACACTGTACCCCGATGGAGGGCATGCGCCTTCGGAGAGGGCCGGGCCTGCAGACGGCGCAGAAGCGGGCCTGCCGCGTGCCTCCGTCCCCACCTCCTTACCTCTTGCCAGTGGAGGACACTACGTGGGGGGTGTGGAAGAGGATGTGACCTCCAATGCTGAGGGTGAGTGCCGTTCTCCCCACAGTACGCGGGTTTCACAACTACTGGCCGCGTTGCTCAGGGCTGCTGCCATTTCCCTGGCACACCCCTGAGCCAGGGGCCAGGTCCCACAAGGGGAAAGTCGCGGGCCAATTTTCACTCGGTGTTGTTAAGGAGAGGGAGTTTCTTTTGCCAAGGAAAACTTGGCCGGCAGATTCCTTTGGAGTCTCTTGACCATTAATCATATGTGGAGTTTTTATTATTATTATTATTATTATTTTAAACTCTGTGGGCCTCATGAGGTGGGTGGGGGCGGGGAGAGCTGGTGCTACAATGGAATGAAGAATTTCAGTTTGAGAGTTGGGCAAGGTCACAGTGGCTGGAGGCTTCTGGTACGTTCCAGAAACCCAAATTTCCAGCCACAGGCTGTGTTGGCTCAACAGGAGGACCCTGTTGCTGGCCTGGCTTGTGTGGGGGAGGAGAGTCCCTGTGGGGGAACGTTAGGGAACACCTGTGTGTGTGTGTGTCATTTCTGGTTCATGGCCGTGCAGCTGTGGCGTTCAGCTCCCTGGAGCCTTGTCCTCATTTTGGAGAATCTGACTGGAATAGGAGGAGAGGAGGGAGTCAGAGGAGAGAGTGCCGTTAGTCGGGACGCAAGCCCTGGTCCCCTCCCTTCCTGGGATGGGCCTGTCATGGCCGCTCTCTTCTCTCTCCTGATCTGCCCATCTGACCCTAGACAGGAGGAAAGGGGTCAGAGGTGAAGTCCTTTTCCTTTGTTCTACCCCAAATTTTCCTATTTCCCATCCTTGCTGGGATGGGGGGATGGGAAGGGGCAGTAGGGGGAAGCTGTCTCAGCAAAGAGAACCTTCTGGGTTCTTCTGGCTTGGTCTGGAGCAGCAGGATTTTGACTGAAGAAGAAAATGCTTTCTGATGAAGGAGGGCATGGCTGAGGTGTACAGAGCAGGGGGGACGCATTGGGCATTGGGCGCTGGGCGTTGGTGTCCGGTGTCAGTAGAATTTCTGGCTGTCAGGTTGTGTGAACTGAGGTAATTTCTGTAGCTCACAAGCCTCCATCTTCTCCAGACTTTGTTGGGAGGATTCCCACTGTAATGTGGTGTGGATTCCCGGTGTCTGTGTAGGTTGTCTCTTAAATCATGGTGGCTGCAGTTATCAGTGTTAGAAACTTTAGCCCCGTGGGAGCAGGTGGGGGTTGGGTGGGACATTAAGGGCATGCTCGTTAGGTGGTTCTGCCTTCCTGTGTGCCTGAGGATTGGAGGGTGCAGCCAGTGTTGGGAGGCTTCCCACCCTTCAGGTACCCACGTCGTTTCAAAAAATGCTGAATGTGAATCTTTAAGGGAAGCGAGTATTCGGGATTTTCATGAAGCGAATTTGAGGCCAAGAGGCATTTCTGAGCAGCCTGGGCAGGGAAGGGTGGGAAGAGTTGGCCATATCGAAAAGCAGCCCCCTAGGTCATCCGGTGAGGAGCTGGCGGGGACTTGTGTGGTGAGCGAGGCTTGGACTGCCAGCGTGTGGTGTGCGTGCCTGGAAGGACCTTCCAGGGTGCGGGGAGCTATGACTGGGACATTTATCAGCTGCTGGATGGAGGCGCCCACTGACATCTTAGAAATAACCAAATGCATTTGGAAAACAGTTGATGAGTCCACTGAGATATTTAGGGGAAAAAGATCTAACTAAGATGTTTTGAACCTTGGAGAAAAAACCAGAGAGGCATTTCTAAGAGGATTTAGAAATGTATAGTCTAGAAGCATGAAATAATTCAATAACTTGAGGAAAGGGTGGTGGATTGTTATTATCTTTTTTAAATAGAGCATTGATGCCCCAGAGGGTCATCAGAGAAACCTGGCCTCCCCCTGCGCTGAGTAGCAGCTGCGAGAACCGGCCCCACCCTCCCATGGAGGGAGCTGAAAGCACGCGGGCTTTGGTGCCAACTGACCTTCAGCTTGCTTCTCAGCTCTGTCCTGTACTTGGATGCAAAACATGTGCTCTGTTTGACCCGCACACGCCTCAGCTGTAAAAGAGAGACAACACAGGCCTCCTTGTGGAGTGGTGAGAATCCCAGTTGGGCCAGGGAAATGCCAGCCCTACGGTAAAGCCTGTTTAAGCTCCATAGTGGACATAGTGCTAAAACAGGATAAAAAGATTGAGTCCTAGAAAAATCTCTTCTTTGTTTTTCTTTCCAGGGAGCCTTCTTACAGATTTTTCTTTTCCATCTGAACTCTAGATTCCTTTCAGATTGTGTCTGCTCCAAGCAGAATCAGTTACCGTGCGTTTGGCCTCAGGGATGTCCACTGCTTGTTTGTTTCCATCAGCCTTAGAACCAGTAACACCGACACTTCATTTCTCTCTGTGGGAGGTAGGGGAGGAGGGGAAGATCTTGTTTTTCCAGACAGCCTCAGTAGCTTTGCGTGTGTGCATTTTTTTTATGTGTGTGTGCATTTTAAAGATTTATTTTACTTTTATTTGAAAGACTTAATTGCTGAAAGAAGGAGAGACAGAGATCTTCCATCTGTTAGTTCACTCTTCAAATGGCTGCGATAGCCGGAGCTGTGCCAATCTGAAGCTGGGAGGCAGGAGCTTCTTCCAGGCCTACCGTGCAGATACAGGGTCCTAAGGACCTGAACTACACTATGCTGCTTTCCCAGGCTATTGATGGAAAGCTGGGTCGGAAGTGGAGCAGCCAGGACACAAGCTGGCTCCCCTATAGAGTGCCAGAGCTGCAGGCAGAGGGTTAGCCTCCTACGCCATGGTGCTGACCCCACATTTCAAGTTATTTGAGTGGCAGAGGGACAGACAAGGTGCTTCCATTTGCCAGTTAACTTCCCAAACGCCCACAACAACTGTATCTGGACCAGGTGGAAACCAGGAGCTAAGAACTCGATGCAAGGCTCCCACGGGGAGGCAGAGACCTAGCCGACTGAGCCATCCCTGGGGCCTCTCAGGGTCTGCGTCAGGATTAAGAAACTGGATTAGGAGCAGAGCTGAGAATGAACACCAGGCACTGTTATATGGGCTGCAGGATCAGATGCCCCTGCCACCCCAGTAGTTCTGATATAAGCTCCTATTAAGCTCCTGCCTCTTAGCTAGCACTGGTGGAAGTTGTGGCTGGCATTTCTTGAGTGCCTGTAACTGTCCAACAAGACGCTCTGCTTCTGAGTGCACTGTCAGAGTCAGTCCTCGGGACAGCCTGGTGAGGGTGACCATGTCATCTTTCCCATCGTACACAGGTGAAAGCTAAAGTTACCTCGGAAGAGGCCAACTCAGATGGTAACAAAAGCAGGAAAGAACCAGAAAGCTGAGAGGGAGCCCGGCTAAGGGCTCTGTAAGGAGGGGCTGCTGGAACCAGGCCTTGGAGTCAGGGTCTGTGGCAAGAGAGAGGAAAGATGTGAGGAGAGTGGTGTCGGAGAAGGAGGTATTGGAACTGCACGGGGGAGACTGACCCTGGCAAGCATGTTACCACGCTGTGGCAGCATGACAGGGAAGCCTAATTTAATGTCAGTCTGCAAGGTAGATTAGAAAGAGACAGGGGTGCCAGCTTTGAGAAAACTCACGCCTCAGGTGTTTGTAGTCCGGCTGGGATCCCATCCTGTCCTGTTTGGGTGGCAGCGTGCTGGGTGGGGGACGATGAGCAGGGATTTTCCCAGGGTCCTCCCCACCTCCTGTCTTGTGGTTTTGGGAAGCACTAAGGAAGTGTATGGCTCCCTCTGCTACCACCCTTGGTGACACTGGGCAGGTGCCACTGCCCAGCCCAGCGCTGCACGAGTAAAATCCTCCCGTCCAGTTGTTCCTCCTGGTTGCAGAGGGGCTGTGGACAGCAGTGTCCTCCATCCCTGTGAGTTTACCTGCCTGGAATCCTGTTCCTTTACCAAAAGTGGAAAGAGAGTCTGGTGACGTGGTAACAGCTGATGCAAATGTACCCCTACCCCCAGATCCTCACTGCTGGTCCAAGAGGGGTCACCATGGACCACACCCATACATCCCAAATAAGTAAGATGCACATTCCATTGTTGTTCATTATAAAGTCAGATGAAAATATCCTTTTAATATTTATATTTATTTGAGAAGCAGAGACAGGTCTTCCATCTGCTGGTTCCATTCCTCAACTGCCTGCAACAGCCAGGGGCTGGGCCAGGCCAAAGCCAAGAACCATATCTAGGTTTCCCACATGGCTGATGGGGCCCAAGTCCTTGAGCCATGTCCTGCTGCTCCTAGGATACATATCAGCAGAAAGTGGGAAGCAGGAAGCTGAACCAGGTCTCAAACCCAGGCACTCCTTATGGGATGCTGGCTTCCAAAGCAGTGCCTTAACCACCGCAACAAATGTCAACTCTTGTTTTTCTAAGTAGTCCATCATTCTGGAAGGAGGGGCCACTTAGGAGAACATGTCCTGATGGAAATGTCCATTCTTTCCTGGAAGAAGCAGGAAGTGGTGTTAGAAGTAGAAGCTGCTTCCCCGACCACAGGGCACCCAGACACAGCACACTGCCTCCTGGGGAAGTGGGCTCAGTCCTCCCAGTACAGCCTGGCCAGACCCTGCCATGCAGAGGGTAGGCAGGCCGAGCACAGAATACGAGTGCCCAAGTGTTTCTGGAAAAGTGTCGAGGGAAATATGGGCTTGGGCACAGGCAGAACAGGGCTTTCCATATTTGTTAAAAATTCCTAGTTAGGACAAGTTTCAGGGAATTTGGCAATGCCTTGTTTGTTTTCTCCGAGCTGTCCCCACCCCGTTTTGCTTTCTATTAAAGGATATGAGAAGAGTAAAGAAAAGCATTGCATGGGACACAAAGAGTGAGGTTTTTTTTTTTAAAATAAATATGTCCTTGTGTTGGGATTCCTTTAACAGCTCTCACACCTCAATGAACATTTGGTGACCAATAGAGCTGACTGCAGTGGGCCCAGTGTCCACCACACCTCAGTGCCCCGAGATGCTGGCTTGCCTGTCACTCTGTTGTTGCAAATGGTGGGTCCAGGATGGGCTGGCTGCAGCCAACCAGTGTGGGTAAGGTCAGAAAAGAGGAAGCCATGAGCTGACGACCCTGCTTCTCCAGGGGTGAGCTCCACACCACCCGTATGTAGCTCACCGGCGCCCCGTGTTGAACACATTGATTCCCAAGCTTCATTCTCTGAGCCACTAATCTGCATGTTTGTTTCTAAACCCACATCTTTTGTTTTTTTCTGAAATCTACTGAACTTGAGTACTGCTGGTGTAACGGGAGGATAATTTCTGTGTATTCTCAGTTTTCACATCTGTAAAATGGAGACGTGATCTTTTCACCTAAATGGGAAAATGTGGAGTAATACCTGAGTTGGAAAATGAAATCAAACCTAAGTTTAATTTGGTGCAAAACAATTTTGAAATCCATACATACAAAAACTTCTTGAAAAAATTCATATCATGAGCACAGTATGCAGAGATTTCAAAAGTATACAGAAGTAAACTTCTGCAATTCCATTTTCCGTGAACTTTTTGAAGTGTCCCTTATACACGGAAAAGGATGGCCCAAAGGGGGCCCAATCAAGGACCACTGTGATGAAAACGTGCCACGTTTCTTTGGACATTCATTTGCCATCCCCTGCAGCGGGGACCCAGAGCTTGAGCACAAGCCTTCAGGTGGCTGGCTGGCTGGCTGGCTGGCTGGCTGGCTGGCTTTGAGCAGAGCCCCAGTTCCCACAGATAACCAAGAAGTCACCTGGGCCACAGATCTGGGGTGTCTAGTCTTGTGCAGCCCACTGCTGCCTGCCGGTCACCTTCCTCTCCCTCAGGGCAGGTGCTCCCTGCTGGGCTTTAGCCTGACCCCCAACCCCAAGGCACCTTTTCGGGGTGTGCACTGCAGCGGCTCAAGGACCTGTGGGCCGGAAATACTGACTTCCAGCTCTCAGTGAGCTTACCAGCCGCCTCCCACCTTCTCGTACCTTCTCCCTGTCCACAGCTGCTCACTTGCAGGAAGCTCCTTCACTGCACAGATGCACAGTCCCAGTTTCTGAGATTTCCAGCTCTCCCATGTGTCGCTCTCTTCGTGATGGGGCTTGTGACCAGCGGGTAAAGCCAGCCAGTTCATGGGGTCTGCCCTCACCCAGCTGCAGGTGGCAGGTCTGAGGCAAAGGGGGCTTAGGTTTTGCATTTTCGGTGTCATCTCAGGTGACCCTGGAATCCACCAGGGAGAAAATCCCCTGTAAAGGTCAGAGAGGTTCCTGTCCAGGCTAGGGTGTGTGTCTCCCACACTTCTGCACAGCAGCAACGCTCTCTCCCTTCCCAAGAGTTTCTCTCTCTCTCTCTTTTTCCTGCATGGCTCTTACCACACCCATCCTACCAAACAGTTGTGTATTGGCTGCTGCCCAGGACAAATTGGTGTGGTACAGAAACTTTCACTTCTCTTGGTCCCTGGTATGTCTCCAGTTACTAGATGTAGCTCTAGAGCCAGGCCTAGAGTGCTCAGTAGACGTGGATGAAATTGTTTCCAGTGAGTGGAAGAGAATTGCAGAAAGGCATTTCTCTGGCCTAACTAGCTGCCTCTGGTGTCCCTGTGCAGGTGTGGAAGAGGAATTAGGGAGTGTTCAATTCCTCAGTTAGGAGCGAATTCCTCTTTGCTGTCCGGGGGAGGGAAGAATGTGTTCTTGGATCAGTGGGTTCCATCCAAAAACTACAGCTCTCCCGGGTTAGCTTGCCAATCAGTAGTTAAGTCATCGTAATTAAATTTGAGTCTTGTGATTTCCTTCGTGGGAACATTAGGGCATGGTTGCTTCATAGAAAAATAGAGTCTGGTTTCCAATGAACTTGTGTTGCCTTTCTTTAGTTGCTTAGGTAAAAGCTGTGATCACTCCTGGTGCTTTTGTGAAACTGAAGCGCTATTCTGTATCCACGGTCTGTGCTCAGAACCCAGCAGCACCTGTTTCATAACCCCGTCCTAGAACGGGCGTTGGCAGGGAATATACTTTTGCGAAGTCGCTGACAGGAGGCATCCCTGTCGTTTCCTTGAGATGCGGGCAGTGCACTGGGTAGTTTGGTTTAACTTTCGTTTGCTTGCCTCAGAACCTTGATGCTTTACAGCTGCCTCAGGTTGCCATGGTGCTCAGGAACAGATGATGAAAGACTTTTGGCAGAGCAGGTGTGAGGATGGGGTGCTAACTCAGGAAACTGAGGCAGGCAGAGTGTTTCCATGGGTTCCTAACAGCCACCTGCATGCTGGCTGAGGGTGGCTTGGAGCCTGGGTCCTTCCAAAGCTGTTGTGTGCCCCCTTGTGTCTTGGGGAGTCCCGGGGGTGATACTGCACCCCCGTGTATAGGTCCCCTAAGGGTGTGCGCGGCCGTGGCTACCTGAGCTGTAGACGAGGCTCCGACACACCCCGGTGGCTTGCTGTTCTTTCTGCTCAGAATGCCTTTTGCTGTCTCCATGGGTGGGCAGTGATGGCACGCTCCACTTCTGTCCTGAGCTGTTCTGTTTCTGTCTTGCCTTTTTTTTCTTTTCCATTTTTCTGATTTTTGTAAAGAAGTGAGTTATGCTTAATTTTCTATTTTTATCAAGCTTGAATTTCTCAGCCAAGTAAGTCATCAGGCCCCATATCCTGTCTTGAGTGGCTGACTGCAGCCTCACTGTGGCCCTCATCTGATCTTCCACTTCACTCACGGTGACTCAGTGGTGGTGTTGGCCCTGGGCTTGGCGCTGCCTGCAGTGCCCACTGCACGTGGCACTCAACACAGTCTGGAAGTAAGCGCCATGGCGGCTCTGCCTTCTCACCCAGCGTGTTGCAGGATTTGCCGATAGCTTGTTCTGCCACAGACCCTCAGTGGTAAATCCGGACTTGGTGCTTTGCTGCTGAGGTCTACGCTGATGAACCCCGAATCCAACACCTTGTAAGCTGGCGCTCAGGTTGTGGGCACTTTGTCCCCCTGGAGGGGTGAGGGTGAGTAATGGTGAAGATGCCAGAACCAGGCTGCCTGGGGCCAAGATCCCACCAGTGCCATCCACTGCTGTGTCCTTCCCGTGAGTCCCGGCCTCTTGGACTGCAGAGCAGGGGGGTACAGCATCCCAGGGCTCCTCTGGGAACCTACGTGTGGAGGGGAACCTGGAACAAGCTCATGTTGAGTGTGTTATCTGTGTGTTTGCTGATGCAAGTCAGCAGAGCCTCCTGGTGCTGGGTTTCCTTCCATTTGTTTGTTTTCTGCTGAGATCCTGGGTAAAACAGATGCCTTCCTTCCCTTCATATTACCTCCCTTTTAGACCAAAACACGGGACTCGGCTCCAACCGAGTTTTTCCTAGCAGAGCGTGTCGCTCTTCCTTGGCAGCTGGCCCTGGGGCGTCTCACAGGAGAGCTACACGCCACCTTTGCCCCATCAGTCAGATTCAGAAATCTCATCCTGCCCCCGGGCCTGCTGGGGCTGTGCTGGCTCGGGCATAGTCCTCAGGGTCCCGGGAGAGGGCACCCTCTGTCCAGCCATGCCCGCCTCCTGGACACGGGCATTTGCATCCTCCCCACCCCTCCGTAAATCCCGTTTCTGGGCAGCACAAATGGTCCTCTTTTATCTTATTTTGCAGTGGAAGACACAGTTCCTGTAGTGTTGAGTCTAGCCTGGGCCACCAAGGTTTTCTAGACAACCTACACCTGCTTCCCCTCTCTACTCTCGAATGGGTACCATGCTGTGTGTCCGTCACACTAAACCCCCCAAAGGGCCTGGAGTATGTTCATAGCTGAATTTGCAGTCTCTTCCCCCATGTTCTCCGTTTCTGTCAGGTCACTGCATCTGTTCCTTCTTCCAGGTCCCATTCTGTTGAGGGGAAAGGAAAAGGTAGTTAGCAAGGCCAGCTGTAGTCTATTGGTCTTAAATTCATGGTTCCCTAAAAAACAAGATCGATTGAACATAATCCACATCTGTCTTCCTCTCAGGAGGTCACTGCTAGAAGGAACCCTGGGACATTGCTTCTGCCGGGCCCGCAAACATGGTGGTTTCCTAAAGTTCAGCCCAACATTGTACTTAATGGTTAGCTTCCTTTCGGCTGCCCGCAAACCACGGCGCTGCAGCCTCGGCCGCGGCAGACAGGAGCAGAAAGCGGAGCTGCTCGCCACGCGAATCCCGCCGATTCTCCCCAGCTGAAGGCGATTCCTGCCTCTTGCCTGTCCGACCCCACATGTGCATCCTGGGATCCACCAAAGTCACGAGGCAGGCGCGTGCTGGAGCTTGGCAGCCACCAATCCGCCCAGTCCCCAACATGCAAGTTTGTTTTACTTTGCAGTCTTCACCTACAACGGGGACCACAAGGAAACCTGCGAGCGCAACCACGGCCGGTGCTCCCCGCACGCCTTCTGTACCGACTACGCCACCGGCTTCTGCTGCCACTGCCAGTCCGGCTTTTACGGCAATGGGCAGCATTGCCTGGCAGAAGGTAAGCATGGAGTACAGGGGCCCTTAGGAGCTGTGCCGTGTGGACCCTGCCTCTCCCCCACGGGCTCGGACACTTGTCAGCAACTCGGAAAGTTGTCAGCAACTTTCTGGTGCTGCCTAAATATTCAAGGAATAAACAGCTATGGACAGATTTCCCAATATAAGGATTATTCAGAAAAGTCTCTGTCCTTTTTCGTTGGTTTTTCCCTTTTTGTTAGCTCATTAGAGTGGAGAGCAGAGGAGAGGAGAGGAGAGGAAAAGAGGGGGAAAAAATTGGATTTTTTTCTTTGCTACAAATTTTGAGCAGTGAGCTTGGTTTTTCGTTTGTTTGTTTGTTTTTTTTTTTTTTTAAGCTTTATTTTCTTATTATTGCAGTCAGATTTACAGAAAAGGAGAGAGAGGAAGATCTTCTGTCCACTGGTTTACTCCCCTAAGCGGCCGCAATGGCCGGAGCTAGGCTGTTCCGAAGGCAGGAGTTTCTTCCGGGTTTTCCACTCAGATGCAGGGTCCCAAGGCTTTGGGCCGTCCTCTGCTGCTTTTCCAGGCCACAAGTAGGGAGCTGGATGGAAAGTGGAGCTACTGAGATACAAACCAGCGCCCATATGGGATCCTGGTGGATGCAAGACGAGGATCTTAGCCACTAGACTATTACGCTGAACCTGTGAGCTATTCTTTTAAATGAAAGATTCGTTTGAAATACAGAGCTACAAAGAGAAAGGTCCACTGGTTCAGTCTCCAAACGGCTACAGCAACCGGAACTGGGCTAGGAGCTTCTTCCGGGTCTGCCACGTGGGTGTAGCAGCCCAGTCAGAGGGGACTTTGTTCACTGCTTTCCCAGGCATAGTAGCAAGGATCTGGATTGGAAGTGTGAATTGGAGTCCATATGAGATGTCTGCCACAGGCTTTGCCCACTATGCCACAATGCAGGCCCCAACGAGTGAGCTATTTTTTCTTAAAATAATCTTTCAGGTCTTTTATTTGAAAGAGTAACAGTGTGAGGGAGGGACAAAGACAGCTTCCATGCACTGGTTTACTCCCCAGGTGACCCAGGTGGGAAGGGTTGGGCCAGGGCAAGCCAAAGCCAGGAGGAGCCCAGGGCTCCACCCAGCTTACCCACCTGGGTGACACAGGCCCAAGTTCTTGGGCCGTCTTCCACTGCTTTCCCAGGCACGGTAGCAGGGAGCTGGATAGGGAGGGGCAACAAAAGCCAGGCCTCAGAGCAGCCCTTAGCTAGGGAGTGAGGTGTTGGAAGGGCTCAACTCCACACCACCGGCCCGAGAACCATTCCTCAGGTGGCTGATTAGCTAGGTGGGGGAAGGTTTGGAACCCTGGCTGATGCGTGAACTTGAGGAGCTGCCAGTTGGGTTGTGCTGTCCGTGGGCCCCTTCGCCCAGCCTGGGTGGATGGCCAAGCCTGAGAACATTTGCTGTCTTCTAGGGACACCTCATCGAGTCAACGGGAAGGTGAGCGGCCACCTCCGCGTGGGCAACACCCCCGTGCACTTCACCAACGTAGACCTGCACGCCTACATCGTGGGCAACGACGGCAGAGCCTACACGGCCATCAGCCACATCCCGCAGCCCGCAGCCCAGGCCCTGCTTCCCCTCACACCCCTCGGAGACCTCTTTGGCTGGCTCTTTGCTTTAGAAAAACCAGGCTCTGTGAATGGCTTCAGCCTCACAGGTGAGGAGGGCAGCCGGCTGGATCCCTGGGGTGCTGCCTAGGGCCTTTTTTCCAGGCAAGGAGCATGTGCCTGGCCGGAGAAGAACCTGGGTGTCCACCGCTTCCTGTCCGGTGTGTAGCTGGGGGATGGGCCTTACACATCTGGTCCTCCTGAAGGTGTTGTCTAAACCTTCTCCCAGCTGTTCTGAGAAACGGACCGAGGGCCGTAGGAACATCCCTGTCTTCTCAAGCTGCTTTGCTGAGGCATGCTTGTGTAATTGCCTCATTCTGCACACCTGTGCAGCAGGGCGGCCAGCTGCTGCTTGGAGGGCGCGTGCAGGAGGGTTTCCTCCTCTCCTCCCACCCTCGGGTCCCTGCACTGCTCCCATGGCGTGCGGCACACACAGTCACCCTCCCGTGCTGTGAGAAGGTGGGTTCTAAAGGTGTGGCCCCGGGGGTGGAGTCCTCAGGTGGGCTCCACCAGGAGCTCAGAGCAGAGGGTGGTGCTAGGGTTGGCTGTTGCTGGGCTGCTGCCCTGCCCATCCCACACAGGTTGTTTCTCTGGGCAGGAAACCAAACGCAGGGGGACAGGTTCTCTCTGCACTGCAGGTGCAGGGGTCTGCAGGAAAGCTCACGGACAGTGCTTGTAATTAGAAAATCATGTGTGTCCTTTTCAAAGTACTTTTGCACCCCAATAAACGTATCTCTAACTCAGTTTTCGCATGAATTTGGTTTTCAAGTACCAAATAGAGGAGCCTGTCTTTAGTCAAGGTTGAGTAAGGATCGAAAGCAGGCAGTGGGGTGCGTGTCTGGCATAGCAAGGAGGTGCTGTTGAGGATGCTTGCCTTTGGTATTTCAGTGCCTGGTTTCAAGTCCCAGTTCTGTGACCTTCCTGTTTACACCCTGGGAGGCAGCAGTGATGGGTCAGTGAACTGGGCCTCCTGCCACCCTTGGGAGACACACACTGACTTTCTGGGCCCCATATATCAGGCATCTGGGGAGTGAATTGGTGTATGGACTCTCTTCTTGAACTCCTCTGCCTTTTTTCTGCTTGAATATTAAAGGTAAGATAGAGTACACGAGCGAATTTCAGGTGATGTGTGTGTGCACGCGTCCGCACCCAAAATATTGCCATGACACACAGGCGAAAAATGTTTCATCTGAAACACAAATGTCAGTGGGTACCGTGGTTTGTTGTTGTTGTTGCTGTTTCCTTTTTTGCTAGATCTGACAGCCCTAGAGAAGTCACAGGTGCTCCCAGGCATTTGTCAGAAACCCCACTGTCCTCCCGAGAGAAGCAGTGGGAGGCGGGGCAGGTGCAGCCCCACTCCGTCTTGGGGATTTTGCAGGTTGGACTCTGTCTTGGATGTCCCTGGTCCCCTTAGGCAGCTGAAGCGGGTCTGACCTGGTGATGACTGAGGTGGCCTCTCTCGTCATCCTGTGCTAATGGTTTTCCCTCCAGGTGCCACATTCGTGCAAGACATGGAGGTCACGTTCTACCCGGGAGAGGAGAGGGTTCGCATCCTTCAGACGGCCGAGGGCCTCGACCCAGAGAACTATCTGAGCATGAAGACCAATATTGAGGGCCAGGTGCCTTATATCCCAGCCAACTTCACAGCCCACCTGGCTCCCTACAAGGAGGTTTACCACTACTCAGACTCAGGTACTCCTCATCAGTCTTCACATCCATTGGATGGGGGTGCTATCTCTCTCACTAGATGCGCGTGAGGATGAGATAGAATATTCTAGAACAGGCTGATGCATAAAATGAGCTTGAGATCGATTTTACTCTTGTTATTGTGCAATATTTAGTGAGCAGAGAGCTGCCTGCTCTGTACATGAGGGTGAACACCATCATCTGTAAGTGATGCAATGAAATCAATCCAGGATTGTCTCTGGGAGTAGCAAGGGTGGCACAATTGTACAGTTTGCAGCCCTTCTTCTTGGGACATTCCTGAGTACTGATGGTTAGAATTTGTTTGTCTTATATGACCTTATTTCAGCTATTGATCTCAGTCGGCTTTAAAAATCATAGAGATGCAGATGCATGGGGAGGGTAGAAGGTGAAACCCCTGAGCCTGTGGAACTGTACCATGAAAAATAAAAAAAATAAAATAAAATAAAATTTTTAACTAAAGCAGAATCCTAGAGATGCTAGATAGTGTTGTAAAATTAACGTGAGGTTTTAAATCATTCTAACTGGCCATTCAAGACTGACTGTTTAAAATCTGTGTGCTAGGGTATGGAACAGGCTTTGGCCTGGAGTTAATCCACAGGGCGCCCAGATTCCACATTAGAGGGAATTCTGATTACTACCTCGAGTTCCCAGTTCTAATTCTTGCTAATGTGGACCCCGAAGCATCAGTGATGGCTCAAGTAGTTTGGGCACTGCCCATGTGGGAGACCTGGTTTAGGTTTCTAGGTTGACGAGGCTCAGTCCTAGTCATTGTGGGCATTTAGGGAGTGAACCAGCAGATGCGAGTGGGTACTTTCTGTCTGTAAAGTGAATAATAACTCTAGAAATGTGTTAATGTCTGTGAGGAAGATAACCTCCCATGTGAGAGCCTCTTTTCTCATGTTGCAGACGGGAGAGTACACAGATCTGTGTACCCTTGCGCAGCCAGCCATGTGTGTCAGGTGTGATGTGTTTAAAATGCTGCCTGCATGCCAGAAGCTGTGTCAGTCTCGGCTGCTCTTCAGCAGCATGGGGGTTAGAATTATGCCTTGTCTTGGGTCCCTGCTTCTGTGACGAGAACTGGACACTAATGGAGATGGGAGGAAGAGGTTGGGCATCAGAGACTTGCTCTGTGCCCAGAGAAGCCAAGGGCCAGCTAACTGACTTGCACCCGACTCTCAGACTGAGAAATGGAAGGAACCATTGGAACCCTGAAGCCCTCTGCCTGGCAAGTGCCCACCTCTCAGGCGGTGTGCTGCACATGGTAGTGTCTTGCACATGGTAGCGTTCATTTTTTTGCAGCTGATGATAGCAGCAAGAGCAGCTCACCCTGCTCTCCAGCCCTGTGACTTAGTACGCATTCAGCTTCTTGGGATTCCCCTGCAACTTTCCCGTATAAAATCAAGGAGTTCCCAAGGGAACAGGTATAGACAAAACACACCCCACAGAAACATGTCTACGTGTAAGATTTTTAAAAACTTACCTAGGAATGCCTGTGTGATGTGTCTGTTGCAGCTATCACCTCCACGAGTTCCAGAGACTACTTCCTCACATTTGGTGCAGTCAACCAAACGGGCTCCTACCGCATCCAACAGAATATCACTTACCAGGGATGCAGGCACGCACCCAGCCACCGCACCATCCCTGCCACCCAGCAGCTGACCGTGGACCGGGTGTTTGCCATGTACAGTGATGAAGAGGGCGTGCTTAGGTTTGCAGTTGCCAATCAGATTGGCCCCGTGGAAGGTAAGGCTTTCTGTGGTTACTAGAAGTGGACTTAGAATACTTTCCCAAGGCTCCTTATGATTGGTGCCTGGGGCTGGTTTGTACTGGCACCCACCTGTGTGCATACGTAGGGGATACCCCTGTGAACACGCTGGGGCCAAGGTAGGCCAAGCATTTGTGACCTTGTCACTACTGGGGTAAGTGTAGGGTGCTGTGTGCCCTGTGAGCAGGTGCAGGGAAGAAGTCTCCAAGAATTGTCATTTTAGCCAATGCTTAAAACAACTAACAAGATTTCACCAAACTAAATGGTGCAAAAAGCCAGGACTCGGATAAATACACCAGAATAGAAGGTCATGTTCAAAGAATTTACAGTCTAACATCATCATTTGTGATTAAACACTGGATGCTTTCCCATTAAGATGAAGAGTGGGCTCTTGCCACTTTCATTCAACATAGTACTGGGAATTCTAGCAGGGCACTTAGGCAAGAGTGTGAAACAAAAGGGACCCAAATTGAAAATGAAGAGGTAATGTTATTACTCTAACATAATCTTTTTCTAAAGGTCATTTTCCTCCTATTTTCATTTATTTAAGACTATCTGAGACAAAGAGGAAGAAAGGAAAAGAGGAATCATTTACCACTTTCCCCCGATGCCTGCAGTACCTGGGGCTGGGCTGGGCTAGGGTGGAGCTGGCTGCCCAGGTCTCAGTTTAGTCTCCCATGAAGGTGGCAGCAACCCGATTCCTCGAGTTGTCACTGCTGCTCTCTGGGGTCTGTCTGACCTGGAAGTAGAAATTGACTAAATCCCGGGAGGGAAGCCAGGTGCCCTCCCCCCACACCGGTTGGAGCCAGCTTAGCTACTGAGCCAAGCACCTGTCAGCTTTCATGTAGCAAATGACCAAATTGACTAAAGATTAATAAAACTAATGAACAACTTCTGCGATGTTGCAGGATACAGGATCGACAGATAATTAATTTTATTTCATTTTGCAATGAGTGAGCTCAGAGTGAAATTTCAAAAGTACAGTTCTCAGGGAACGAAACTTATACATAATGCAGTGTTTATAAACTTAAACCTACCGTACATGTTTGAATACATTTTAAAAAGATCTAAATAGGAAACTACTTCAAAAAGTTTGTGGAAAATGGAATTAAAAGGTAATGTGAATTTTATGTTACCTTTTTGAAGACTGCTCACTGATAAGAGGTTCTGTGTTCATGAATCGGGAGACTTAATATTATTTTTTAAAAAGATTTATTTATTTGAAAGGCAGAGTTGTGATGTGGAGTAAGGGAGCTTCCAGCCACTGTTCATGTCCTAAGTGGCTGCCACAGCCAAGGCTAGGCAATACCGAAGCAAGGAACTTCATCCGGGTCTCCCACATGGGTGCAGGAGCCCAAGCACTTGGCCCATCTGCTGATGCTTTCTCCATTCATTAGCAGGGGGTCACATGCAAAACAGAGCAGCTGGGACTCAAACCAGTGCCCACATGGGATTCTGGCATCACAGGCAGAGGCTTAATCCACTGCGCCACAATGCTAGCCCAAGGACTTGATAATATTAAGATGACATTTGTCTGCCAGTACAACACAGTGCTCAGAGTCCCAGCTGTCTTCTTTACAGAATTTGGCAAGCTGATCACAAAAAAATTCAAGCAACCCAGGACAGCCCAAAACAAGCTTGAGAAATCACAAATGTGTAAAATGTGTTCTTCTCAGTTTGAAAGTTTAGAGAAATCTGACCAGTGTGGTCCTGGCGGAAAGGCAGACGTACAAAGCAATGGGACAGAAGTTACACACCAGAATAGATGGACGCATGTCCCCTTTTTGACAAATGGCGCTGAGACAACTAAATTCCAAATGCACAAGAAGAAAAGTAGACCTGCTCCACAACATGTGTGAAAACTAACTTAAAATGAGCCAAACTTCTAGAAGAAAACATTTGAGCAAATTTTTGTGAGTTTGAATTTGGCGATGCTTTCCTTGGCAAGACATTCATTTTAAAGGTGCCCCCCCACACACACACAAAGAGTATCACAAAGTTTAAATGTGGTTTAAAAGGGACCTTATTGATGAAATGGAAATGCAGCCCATGGAATGGAAGACACCATTGGCAAATCACTGTCAGTAAATAATTTGCTCTGGAACAAGAAAAGTGCTCCTACAACTCGGACACCTAAATTAAATGACCTGCTCAGGACCCAAGTGGGCCTTTCTCCAAAAACATCTGCAGGCGCCCATCATCCTTAGTCATGAGGGAAACGCAGGTCCAAGCTGCCGTGAGATACAGCCTGTCATCGCGTGGGTGACTATAATGGGAAGCGTGCTAGCAAGTACTGGTGAGGATGAGGGGTAAGCAGGTGTCTCATCCATCAGAGGGGTGGGAGTACAGCGCTGCAGCAGCTCTGAAAACAGCTCAACACAGTTACCATCCAGGCAGTTGCACTCCTAAATGTATGCCTAAGCTGAGTGAAAACAGGTTCCCTTGAAAAATACATATGGATTTAAAACAACTTAGCTAGCCAAAAAAGTAGGCTAAATGTCTGTCAACTGATAAGTCAAGAAAAAAAGACGGGGGCGGTCTTCAAAAACTTTGTGGAAATGCCTTTTATGAAACAACTACTCGTGGATTTCAAAGGGTTTTCCTTTTTTTTTTGGTACCAAATAAACTGCCATCTACCCTTTGAAGTCCTGATACAGCCATACCATGGAACATTATTTAGCCATAAAAAGCAAAGAAATACTGAATGATGCTGCAGCATGGATAAATCTTGAGAATATTATGCTGGGGCTGGCGTTGTGGTGCTGTGGGTTAAGCTGCTGCTTACGGTACCCCCATTCCGTACCCACGGTGTGCTTGTTTGAATCCTGGCTGCTCCACTTCTGATCAAGCTTCCTTCCTATGAATACACCTGGCAAGACAACAGTACTTGGACCCATGTGGGAGACCAGATGGAGTTCCTGGCTCCTGACTTTGGCCTGCCCCCATCCTAGGTGTTGGAAGATCTCTTTTTCTCTATCCCTCAAATATTATAGAATAAAATTTGTGTGCTGCATGAAGGTAGCCAGTCAGGAAGGACCGCATTCTGTGCGACTCCATGTGTCAGGAGTGCCCAGAAAGGCCAGTGCACAAAGATCCTGTGGTGATGGTTGCTTGGGGCTGGGATGTGATGGGGCGAGTTCAAGGGCACAAGGATCTGGGGAAGGACAATGAAAAAAAAAATGCTAAAACTTACTGTGATGATTGTGCACCTCTGACTAAAACCAGTTAGTGCATGGTATGGTGTGTGACTTATGTCTCAATGAGAGAAGAATGTATGCCAAAGAAACCTCTAAAACGGGGATTCTTAGCCATCAGTGCACCAGCTGTGGAGGTGGATTAAGAGGTGCAGGTCACATGGTGCTCAGGCAAAAAAGGCAAGCAGAGCCTTCCAGGCCTACTGCTGAGTGGATGGAATGGTCTGGAAAGGCTGCACACTGTCTGATTTGCCCCCATGGGACACTCTGGAAGAAGTGTCACTCTGGAAGATGCTGCAGACAGTCAAAAGAGCAGTGACTGTTGGAGCTGCAGTGGGAGGGCAGGGGGTGACAGGTGCAGCATACCTGTCCTGTGCCACACTGTAACAGCGGGGACAACCATGACGCATGTGTTAGTCTACGGAGCGGGACCACACACAGCCCTGGTGCGATGCCTGGACTGGGGATGTGTCAGGACGAACCCATCACTTGGAAGGCATGTGCTACGCTAGTGCGGGATGTTGGTGCTCAGGAAAACTGAAGGAGCGGCGAGAGTAGGGGAAGTGCTGCTTTTTGCTCGGTGTTTCTGTGCACATATTAACAATCAACTAATGAACCAAAAACACACTCCAGGTCAGCCAAAGGATGATGCTGTGGAGTCAGGGAACTGAATTGTTAGGAAGTGACTTCATCGGATCCAGGGGCATTTCAGTTTTGAATATCAGTAAGTCTTGTTTTCCTCTGGGATGTGCGAGGCCTGGAGGGGAGGGCTCCCTGGGTTGATGGCGTGCTCAGAGCAGGTACCTCCCGGAGGCACTGCTGTGAGTCAGCAGGCACGCTGTCGCACTGGACTGAGGCTCTGAGACCCTACACGGGCTCAGTGTGAAAATGTCACTTCAACCTGTCCGGGTGAAATTGAGCTCTTGTCTGGGGTGCACGTGTGACTGGAAGGGGGCCACCTGCATTTGTCAGTCTGGCTGATTGGCTTGATTTTCGGGAGCCTGGTTAAGGGACAAAGCCTTAGGTGTCCTTAGGTGATTGTCAGGGAGTGAATCCGTGCAAGACGGTGTCTGGTGACTTTGATGGTGCATGTCCATCAGAGGGAAATCATGCGGATTTCATGAGGTATTTCAACAACACCCCCTGGAAAAAGCAGCCTTCAGCTTTGAACATTCAGGCCTGTCCTTGGCTGGGTACAGACGTCTGATCTGCTTAGGCAGCCATTAGCGGAAGGACTCCCAACCCATTTCATGCCTTTTGGAGTCTGGAGGCGTTCTGAGATGTGATGTGTGTTTGGCTTGGAGACACAGAGGAAGCCACAGAATCAGCCAGCTAGTTTTCTTCCAAGTCTAGGACTTTGTATGGTTTAATCTGCTACCCAAGTAAAATGAGAGTAATTCATATTAAATGGCAAAGGATGGTTTACAGGGTGCTGAGGGCTTTTCTACATGCCAGTCATGAGCTAACATTGAATTCCCACAACAACCTTGACCAAATAGGGGAGTTATTACTCTTCCATTCTACAGATGATAGACTGAGGTATAGAGGTGAAGAGTTCTGTCTGTCGTTGCCAGGGAGAGCTGATCTGGAACTTCAGCCAGGGCACCAGATCCACAGTGTACGTTCTAACCCCCCACTGCCCCGCTGCTCCTGTGGGCTCAGGAGAGACCAAACTATAGAGAGACTGTGTGCATCTAATGGCTTCATCTCGTCATATACGTCATCATCTACTTCTACTTGAATAGATGGCAAATGGGATGAGTGGAGTCAGCCGGCAGGAGTGT